TGTGACATGCTGAGTGAGAATGGAGATTATCTCTTCATGCTGCAGCAGTGACACTTGCTGGAACTGATGTCAAGTCTGTGGCTACTCTGCAGTTCCGCTATCTCCACTAAGCTTCACTCCTTCTATGCAAAACTGCTTGCTGCCTTAACATCTTGCATCTGCTTAAGCCCGTACTTCAGAGGAACCAGTCTAAATGCTGAATGGTCTACTTGGAGATCAGCATTTTATGTTTGGTGATGTACAATAGCTGATTGGTACTATATTTGATGAAGTTTACCAAAGAATGTAAATGGTATTTAAATCAGATATTATGCTGAGTTCTGCTGAAATGTAACCACTTGCCACCCGCCATGTAGTACAATGACGGGCGCAAGGTGGTTCTCTCATATGACGTCCTCCCATTCTCACCATGCATGCGCGGCTCCGGGAGTGGTGCGGTGATCGGCGGTGCGCTGTGTCCCTCGGACACAGCGGATCACCAATCCAGGGAAAGAGCCGAAGACGCCGGCTCTGTCATGTGAGCAGCTATGTCCAATCACATCTGATCACATGTAAATAGGGAAATGCCGGTTATCGGCATTTCTCTCTTCACGAGCTGTCACGCTGACAGAGGAGAGGAGAGCCGGTAATCGGCATTCCTCGGAGGGGACATGGACATGTACACTGATCATCAGGGCACTGATGATCAGTGTGCCCTGATGATCTGTGTAGCCCCAGCAGTGCCACCTGTCAGTGTCAATCAATGCCACCTGCCAGTGCCCATCAGTGCCACATTTCAGTGCCTACCAGTGCACATCAATGCCACATATCAGTGTACATCTGAGCTACCATTCAGTGTCACCCATCAGTGCCACCTATCAGTGCTGCCAATCAGTGGCACCTATCAGTGCCAGTCAGTGCCGCCTATCAGTGCCGCCTATCTATGCCAGTCAGTGTCGCCTATCTATGCCAGTCAGTGCCACCTATCAGTGCCATCTAACAATGCCAGTCAGTGCCAGCTAACAGTGCCAATCAGTGCCTTATATGAGTGCTGCCTTTCAGTGCCCATCAGTGATTCCTGTCAATGCCCATCAGTGCCACCTACCAGTGCCTCCTCATCAGTGCCCATCAGTGCAGCCTCATTAGCGCACATCAGTGAAGGAGAAAAATCACTTATTTACAAAATTTTATAACAAAAATTAAGAAAAAAAATTTTTTTTCAAAATTTTCAGTGGTTTTTGGTTTAAGAAAAAATTAAAACCCCAAGGTGATTAAATACCACCAAAAGAAAGATCTGTCACAAAAAAATGATAAAAATTTAATATGGATACAGTGCTGCATGACCGCGCAATTGTCATTCAAAGTGGAAATTGGCCTGGGGGCAGGAAGGGGGTAGAAGCGCCCTGCAGGTAAGTGGTTAAGATATGACCTACAGTATCTAGGTTACCTATATTTGGATTGGTCAAGCTATATTGGATTGACTGCATTGCTATGTGCGGTCTGTGCTGATCTTGACCATCTAGTGTATGTGTGTCATTGTGGCTGTATGAGGTGGTTGCTCGGGGTCTAGATGTTTTAAGGGGACAATGTTGTCAGTACTTGATTTTGACATCGTCCTTGGAAGATTTTTAGGTCACATGCCTATCATGGTGGACTTGTATGGTTTGTGAATGTAATAAAGCTTACTCTGTTATCTATGCTACAGTTGGTCCTTCTGTGAGGCTCTTTTTTTTTGGGGCTAGTACTTCTTTGGTTCTACCTGCTTTTTGGTACATTGTCCTATTAACACCCCAGCCTTAGAATCAAACTATAAATTATTAATGCGGTCCCCCAAAGATTGGCTAAATTCGCTCCCAAATGTTTCCTTGACTGCCAAATGTCCGGGACCCTCGTGCATATCTGGTGGGTCATAATATTAAATATTTTTTGAAGGGAGTCTACCTAGTAGTGTGTAGCTTGCTAGGTAATGGTTTACTCAAGTCCCCAAAGGAGGCTTTGCTGAACCAAAAAGGACTGGAGTGTACTATTTGACAGTTTTGCCTGTTTTGGTTTAAGGCAGCCAGACAGACATTGGCAAAATTGTGGTGATCTTCCACACCAACAATCGCCCAGGTGAACAGAAAATGACGTGGTACATGGCCCAAGAAAAAATGTCTGTGGTACTGAATGACAGGACTCAAAAGTTTGAAAAAAAGTTGTCCCAGTGGATAGAGTTCTATCATCCTTCAGCCTTTGACAGGTCCCTGATATCCCGTAGAGGAATATTACTGTTGGTCTCCCTTTAGTGTGCCTGGTCTTCATGCTGGACCTCTTCCTTGTCATTCTCTTCTCCTTTATTCTTCTCCCTTTTTCTCCTGTTTTTTTTTTTCTTCTGCTTTCTGTTACCCACTTGGTTCTGAAGCAACAGCATTACTTCCATCTTCCCTTATCCTTTAGGCCCCTTTCATTCGAGTGGACCGATCGGTTCATTTTTCAGGTGAACCCGACCGGTCCATCCATAGACTCCTATGGACCGGCGGGTGTCAGTGGAAAATAGTCTAATCCGATCCTGTACGCCAAAAACAGACAGATGGGGATCCATTCCCCATTCATGAAGCGGTTCGGATCAGATGACAATGGGGTGGAAACGGGCAGATGGTCTGTTTCCATCTGATCGTCCCATTGAAATCAGAGATTTTTTTATCTGCCTGCTCATCGAGGATCAGTAGAGAGATCCCCCACTGGGCAGGTGGATCACACTGATGGATCTACCCTGTCTGAAAGGAGACTAATGCTGCATACCATCAGCTCTGCCGACAATCCTAGAAATGGACCGTAGAGGGGGATTTACCCATGAATGCTTGAGTGTATCTCCAACATAACAGGACCAATATGTTCCACCTGGTGTTTGGAAGTTGAGTGTTAGGCCTTCAGAGCCTTAGGCCTCGGGGTTATGACCTTTTTTTGTTAACCCTTTACAAGTGATCTTACACTTTGCTTGTTGATATTGAACTAATGGATGCTATACTGGATATCAGCTCACACTGATGATCTTCCCTAATCAATGCAATTCTTTACCAATGTGGTCATTAATTTTACATTTTAGCAGATCCTTTGGAGATAATATTAATGCCCTTTAATATTTGTATTGTTATTTTTTTTTTTATTAATAATAATAATTATTTTTTAGTATTATTAACTGAGAAGATGGAACAGGTACAGTTGCAAGAAAAAGTATGTGAACCCCTTGGGATTCCGTGGAGTTTTGCATGAATTGGGCATAAAATGTGCTCTGAACGTCATCTAAGTCACAACAATAGAAGAACACAGTCTGCTGAACATAATACTACACAAACATTAGATGTTGCCATGGTTTAATTGCACATAACATGTAAACATTCACAGTGCAGGGAGGAAAAAGTATGTGAACCTTTGGACTTAATAACTGGTTGACCCTCCTTTGGCAGCAATAACCTCAACCAAACGTTTCCTGTAGTTGCAGATCAGACCTGCACAACGATCTGGAGTCATTTTGGACCACTCCTCTTCACAAAACTGTTTCAGTGTAGCAATTTTCTTGGGATGTCTGGTGTGAATCGCTCTCTTAAGGTCATGCCACAGCATTTCAATCGGGTTGAGGTCAGGACTCTGACTGGGCCACTCCAGAAGGCGTATTCTGTGCTGTTGCAGCCATTATTTTGTTGAATTACTTGTATGCTTTGGGTCATTGTCCTGTTGCATCACCCATCCTCTGCGGAGCTTCAGTTGGCGGACAGATGGTCGTACGTTTTCCTGCAAAATGTCTTGATAAACTCTGGAATTCATTTTCCCATCAATGACAACAATCCGTCCAGGCCCTGAGGCAGCAAAGCAGCCCCAAACCATGATGCTCCCTCCGCCATGTTTCACAGTGGGGATGAGGTTTTGATGTTGGTGTGCTGTGCCTTTTTTTCTCCACACATAGTGTTGTGTGTTCTTCCCAAACAACTCAATCTTGGTGTCATCTGTCCACAGTATATTTTGCCAGTAGTGCTGTGGAACATCCAGGTGCTCTTTTGCAAACTTCAAACGTGCTGCAATCTTCTTTTTGGACAGCAATGGTTCCTCCGTGGTGTCCTCCCATGTACTCCATTCTTGTTTCATGTTTTCCTTACTGTAGATGTGTCAACAAAAATGTTAGCATGTGCCAGAGATTTCTGTAGGTCTTTAGCTGACACTCTGGGATTCTTCTTTACCTCATGCAGCATTCTGCGCTGTGCTCTTGCAGTCATTTTTACAGGACGACCACGCCTAGGGAGAGTAGCAACAGTGCTAAACTTTCTCCATTTGTAGACAGTCTGTCTTACCGTGGACACATGAACATCAAGGCTTTTGGAGATACTTTTGTAACCCTTTTCAGCTTCATGCAAGTCAACAATTCTTGATCGTAGGTCTTCTGAGAGCTCTTTTCTGCGAGGCATGGTTCACATCAGACAGTGCTTCTTGAAACCAGTAAACCTAAAACAGGTGTCAGCAACACATCCAATATCATCACACTGATTGGAGTCAAGGTTGGCTCACTCCTGGCTCCAATTAGCTCTGGGAGAAGTCATTAAGCTAGGGCCTCACATACTTTTTCCTCCCTGCACTGTGAATGTTTACATGTTATGTGCAATTAAACCATGGCAACATCTAATGTTTGTGTAGTATTATGTTCAGCAGACTGTGTTCTTCTATTGTTGTGACTTAGATGACGTTCAGAGCACATTTTATGCTCAATTCATGCAAAACTCCACGTAATCCCAAGGGGGTCACATACTTTTTCTTGCAACTGTATGCTGCCAAAACATAGTCATTTTCTTTCATGCTTTCGTACTGAAAGTATCTGAACACAAAATAGAAAATATAATCATCATCCTAAGATAGTATATCTGTATTCCTAATTAATGTATTTTGGATTCTATCATCTATAAATAAATTCTGAGTGTATTGTTTTTATCAAAACTTTGATAAGTATCAGTAATGAGTTTTGTGTGTTTTCTTCCCTAGACTTGGAGGGTAAAATGTTCGTCTTCCCCAAAGAAACCGACACAGCTCATGTCATCCTAAGACCTACAATTACAAGGCCATTGCAGGAAGTCAGCGTCTGTCTACGTACCTTCAGTGAACTTTCACGCCAGTATTCTCTCTTCTCTTTAGCTACTCCAACATACAGAGATGCTTTTCTAATCACGTTCCAGGCTCCCACCACCTATATGGTACGCATAGGCCATGCAAGCAGTGTTTTCAAGAGAGACTCAGAGCCTTCGGACTGGAATCATATCTGTGTGGCCCGGGACTTGAAAACTGGGGTGGTCCAACTTTGGGTCAATGGGAACAACACCAACAAAGGATATATTTGGGGAGAGTCTTCTATTGCAGCTAAAAGCAGCATTATTCTCGGGCAAGCACAAGTTTCTTATGGAGGAGGGTTTGATGCTTCTCGGTCATTGGTTGGTGAAATAAGTGACGTCCACATGTGGGATTATGTCCTGGCTCCAGAAGACATTGAGATGGTCATATCTGGTGATCTCCAAGGAAATGTCATTAATTGGAAGTCTCTAGTCTATGAAATGAAAGGAAATGTTCTTCTCCAGCCTACAAATTTGCGTAAGTCTGTCATCTTAACTGTATACACTTCAATTATTAAGATCCTTCAACGTTCTGTACAGAATATGGTGATTTATTTGTCATGAACATTAAGAACGAGATGGCAATGACAAATATCAGTGAAAAATCGCATGACAAGGAATCCATGTTCTCGTGGAGTAACTAGAACATCCGAAAGTTATAAACAAGATTCCTAAAGGATGAGAATTTTTTCTGATGGCTAAAATAAAAAATCTTTTGTGTGATTTTATAATTTTGCTAAAATATTCTTCTCAACTTTTCTTAATATGCTGTTCATAAATTATACACCACAAGATATATATATATATTCACCAACTCCATTCTTTCTGTGTCTGCCCCTTGTTCTAAAACTCCATCAGAGGTAGAAGAACAACGGCTGAAATCTAAAAGGAGTTACTATCAAAGGTACAATTGTTCTTTGATGTTATAGGAGAACCTGCAAGCATTAGCATACTAATGAAATGAACTATCATTATTACTCCTGAATTACAGGAATTTAGTAACTTTGTAACAAGTGAAGGCCCACTATGAGTTAAGTCCAATTAGGTGCGTGTCACTTCCTGAACTTATCTCTATTATTTATATCTGACAGCTTCATGGTTCTGCCAGAGAATACACTGAGCAACGTAGTACTGTGAGAGAGGAGAGAAGCACATAGATCAGCTATGCCCATCCCTCCCTTCTGTGACCTATTCAGAGAAGCCTTTGTATTTTGTAAATGAGTTTGCATATTACAAAGGCTTCAGTGACTGGGCAGGAGGAGGGGAAGGGTAGTCATAACAACTGCATGAAGATGCTGAGAGCTGAAGGATCAGTGTTGGGCTCCTGGATCTACAGCAATAGCTGTACTATAAAGCTGCAGATGTAAATAATAGAGATAAGTCTAGGAGACCAAATGCATCTTCTTGGACCAAACTCATAGTGTGGATTGACTTTTTACAAAGGAGCTGAATTCCTGGAGTTCAGCTTTATTATTATATTAAGAATATGGCAGACAGTTTGTATATCTGATTGTGTTAGGACTCTGATACCTCGACAACTGAGGTCTCCATTTTAATTAAAATGTGAACAGAACATTTGGAGAGAAGTCATACCCTTCACAGGCTCTCTTGGTCGATGAATGTGCCGATGCACACTCTGAATCTAAACCAAATATTTAGAAACAAAATAAAATGAAATATACTGATCTCTCTGAAATATATGAGAGTATCCAATTGTTTTTTATTTTAGACTCTTCTATCTATAAATAGTGATCTAAAGATTTGACATGTGACACTAATGATCTTTTTTCTGTTTTTCTTCCCCAGACATGGAGGGCAAAGTCTTCGTCTTCCCCCATGAAGCCAACACATCTCATGTCATTCTAAGACCTACAATCACAAAGCCATTGCAGAAAGTCAGCGTCTGTCTATGCTCCTATTCGGATCTTTCACGCTCCTATACGGTCTTCTCTCTTGCTACTCCCGGGAAGGAAAAGGCCTTTCTGATCAGCATTCAGCCTCCAGACACTTGTTCTGTATATATCAACCTGGAAGTCACTAGCTTTAAGACAGAGTCGGAGTCTTTGAGACACATCTGTGTGACCTGGGACTCCGACACTGGAGAGGTCCAACTTTGGGTCGATGAGAAGCTCTACCCAGAAGGAGTCTCCAGTAAAGGCTCTTCTATCGCAGCTGAAACCAGCATTGTTCTGGGGCAGGAACAAGACTCATTTGATGCTTCTCAGTCATTGGTTGGTGAAATAGGTGACGTCCACATGTGGGATTATGCCCTGACTCCAGAAGACATCAAGAAAGTCATCTCTGGTGATCTCCATGGAAATGTCATTAACTGGCTATCTCTACAGTATGAAATCAAAGGGGACGTTCTTGTCCAGCTTAAACACCAGAGTAAGTCTGTCATCCGTCTGTATACAGCTTTTATAATCAATAAGATTCTCCAACTGTCAGTATATAATTACAGTGATAACAATTATATATTTGTCACGCCCACGAATAATGAGAGGTGGAGATGACCATTATAAGCAGAATATCACCCAACAAAGAACCAGCGTTCTCATGGAGTAACCAGAACTATGGAAAATTGTGAACGAGATTCCTAATTATAAAAATCTTTTTTTTTTCAATTTCATAATCCTTATACAATTTTTCTTTTAAAGTCAACACATTATACTGAACCATAAATAAGGATGAGGTTCAGGATCCCTGCTGCCTTGGGTTTGCCAGAATCACAGCTTGAAACTCAATGCTCCAAAATGCTCAACAGCCGAAGTTTAATGATGGCGGTGTATATATACGATCCCTCAGGGGACTGCAGCTGCATGCCTGACACTCAAAAAAGGTACATGTGAAGCAGAATGGAGACATTTTGGCACCGTAGACTTTAAATGGAGCACCTAAAAATGAGTGTTTTTCAAGCCTAAACAATCTCCCCCACTAGCAATTAGCTTTTCATTGATTAAAACAAAAATGTTCAAGCCTGAATACACCTGAAAAAAGGTGCAAAAAACACAGAGAAAAAAAATGTTCCTATGGCTTGGTTCACAGCTGCAGCGGCAACCAATCATGGGCACTTTCCAGCATACCACGTGTAGGGCAATCCATTCATTTCAATGGGCTGCCTTATGCACAAGAAATGCGAAAAAGAAGTCTATGACTCTTTTCCAAAAATGCATGCAATTGGAGGTGCGAGGGGGCACCATGAACAATCGATGGCACTGTCACCCATCTGCTGAAAGACGGTGCATTTCTCTGTATGTCGGGAAATCGTGCAAGGTTGTGCTCATTCCTGACACGCAGAGGTGTGAACCTGACCTATAAGCGCCCATGCTCAGTGTCACGATATGGGTCTCTGCCAGTCCCAGGTATTTAATTCCTTGTTCCTAATCCTTCCTGGTCATAGGAAGAGCTTCCTTCAATTAGTATTCACTCCTGTGTGCCAAAGGCCCCTAGCTGTAATTAACTCGCCCCTCCACAAAAGGTCCCAAATTCAATTAGTGTATACATCCCTAATTAGTGCCTTACTTTTGTATTAATGTATTTCCCCCACTAATTATCCTGCCCAACCAGTCCTTTCTGTGTACAGCCACAAATTAAATTACTGTAGTTCCATTCTCTTCATTGTCACCTGCTAATGACCCCCCTCCGCCTCTCTTCCTTCTCAGGGGGTTTAAGAGGCCAGTGCTGGTCTCTCGTGTTGTGCCATTCTGCTGGGCAAGCACTGAGAGGTCCAGCTGGACTCTAGTGGCCCCCCGGCTCTGCCTGAGCCCACTGGAGGAAGGGGGACCCCAGAGTCTACATCAGCCCAGCCTGGAACGCTGTCAGCTCTGCCTGAGACTATCTCATCAGCTTTGCGTGAGTGTTTGCTCCCCTTGTGCTATCTGACTGCTTATGAACTGCCTCTTGGATTACAAATTGCTGTAGAGGCTTTAAGTTTGCCCACCGGGGCTGGATTACAAGTATTTTGGACTCTCTCTCCCTGCACTACTCCCCATTGAGTGACTGATGTCTGTTTTAATAAATCTTTAAGTGTTTGCCGTCTGCCTTGTTTGTTCTGTCCCGCTTACCCTCCGTTACACTCAGGTATGAAAGCAGTCAGCACTATATTTGTACCTTGCAAGCATTAATTTACTAAAGAAATGTACCTATATCATTATTACTAATATTAAAGCCCAACCCCCAGGCACAGTGTTTTTTTTATTTTTAAACATTCAATATTTACTATGATTTGTTACATTTTGTAACTTGTTTTTACTCACATTGCTGTTACTAAGCCCGAATGAGTCCAGACGGTACAGCGGGAGCCGCACATCTGATGCATTCTAGTTCTGGGGTTGAGCCCCCCTCCCAGTGATTATAGAGGGTGATGACCCCCAGTGACTTGGATTTTCCAAGGGCCACCAAAATTGTCTTTGGGCACACTGGCTTTGGTTCAGCAGCACTCCACAAAATGTGACCACCCTCAGGAAAAAACACGAGGACCCACAGTTGAGAATCCACATATATACAATCCAGTGAGAGTGCTGAACAAACGTCCACTCGTCCAAGGCAACCTAATGATAAAACTGATTTTTAGAAGAATAGAGCCAACATGTTTCCGGGGCCAAACACTCTCCCCCTTCATCAAGGCTGAAGAATTCTGGCTGTGCTTAAATGGACTTAGGTGAGCAAATATCAAATAAGACTTCACTGGGATTTGCTGCTTGGAAAGTTTCCGGAGGGCAGGTTCTTTCAGGATATTTCCCAAGCAGCAAATCACGGTGCACTCTTATTTGATATTTGCTCACCTAAGTCCATTAAGCACAGCCAGAATTCTTGTGTCCTGATGAAGGGGGGATGTGTTGGGCCTCCGAAATGCATTGCCTCTATTCTGCTACAGACCAGTTTTATCTTTCAATTACCTTGGTTGGTTGTTTAGTGCTCTCGTTGCACATGAATGATGATGAAATGACAAATAAAATAATAAAGTGCAGCCCTATAAGGATCAACATATAGAAAGTTCGTTCACAGAAGTTTGTGCAGAAATGAATATACATATATGTGTGCAACTCCAAACTGCTGCTTCCACAGCTGTAAATATTCCAAAACGGCTTGTGACAGAGGGTATGACAGAAATGCGCACTCACCGACCGCGGATAGGAAATGCGCATATAATATCCATCAATCAAGACGTGTCATGTTGGGTGCAGAATCCCTCATGGAGGTGTTGTCATCAAGCAATGATCAGCAGGGCTCAGAGGACTCCTTTAGGATGTGGACAAACCGCCTGGATAAGAGGCTCCCTCCTCTGGATGTTGGATGTAGTAAACTGTGTGTGTGAATCTGATAGCTCCTTAAATTGGGGCCAAAGAGAAGGAAGTACCAATAGTGTAGTATTTCCAGGACTTTATTTAGTGTAAATCATAAAAATTCACTTGGTCAGTAGTGACAATGCAATATCCAGTGATAGAGAGAGCACACATGGCTGTACTGACCTAAAGTCCTCGGCGGCAGAGGTGTCACATGCTGTCAGCTCCTCCTAAGGCCTTTCGTGCTAAGGCACATTGTCAGAGGGGAGGCTAGCATCTGCCGTTGAGGACCACGAGGAGGTCCGGCGGCCATCTTGCTTTAGGGCAGTACAGCCACTGTGCTCTCTCTATCACTGGATATTGCATTGTCACTACTGACCAAGTGAATTTTTATGATTTACACTAAATAAAGTCCTGGAAATACTACACTATTGGTACTTCCTTCTCTTTGGCCCCAATTTGAGGAGCTATCAGATTCACACACACAGTTTACTACATCCAACATCCAGAGGAGGGAGCCTCTTATCCAGGCGGTTTGTCCACATCCTAAAGGAGTCCTCTGAGCCCTGCTGATCATTGCTTGATGACAACACCTCCATGAGGGATTCTGCACCCAACATGACACGTCTTGATTGATGGATATTATATGCACATTTCCTATCTGCGGTCGGTGAGTGCGCATTTCTGTCATACCCTCTGTCACAAGCCGTTTTGGAATATTTACAGCTGTGGAAGCAGCAGTTTGGAGTTGCACACATATATGTATATTCATTTCTGCACAAACTTCTGTGAACAAACTTTCTATATGTTGATCCTTATAGGGCTGCACTTTATTATTTTATTAGTCAGAACGTGAGGCTTTTGTGATTCCCTCTAGTGTTCTAGCTGCTTATACACTTATCTGATGAGCGCTCGCTTTTTCTTATTTACATAATGATGATGAATGGCAGAGCAGGAGAAGAAGGTTGAGGGACAACACCAGAACTGATGTCTAGATGCCCTTCCATGGCAGTGAGGAGTCAGAGGTGAGGCTCCTGCTCTACATTCTGCCACCAGCTCAGCAGGGCTTGCTAACAACCATGGAAGTAAAAATAATTTACAGCTTTAGCAAATCATAGCAAATGTTAATACGTTTTAATGTAAAAAAAGCACTGCACCTGGAGTTGTGTGTTAATAAACGTGGCAACCATTTTATATACCTGGTCGTATTAGCACCCCTATACCTTACAACTGAGGCCTCTATTTTAATGTCAGGAGAACATATGGAGGTAAAATGAATCCCAAATCTCCTTTATTGGCTAACTGGTAAGATGGAAAATGTAAACTTCTAAGAGGCCTGGAATGGACAGCGATTCCTGCCAAGCTGGTCCAGGCCCTGCTTCTTCCCAAGATAGAATACACACATACCTGTCTTTTTGTAGATACTCATTCTACTGGCCTGAGGCTGGCTTTCTCACATATTCCCGGCCTGAAGCCTGTTACCTGGAATAAAGAATGTCCACTTCAGATGCTTTACTGCATCAATGGTGGCACACACAACAATATATCTTCCTCATGATGCTCAGTACCAGAGCTTCCAGCTATTCTCCCAGTTCTCTTACTGAGCCCCCCAAAGGTAGTCTCTCACACACTCTGTCACAGTCAGCAGTCAGGCTCAGAGACCAGTAGCAGTAGAGAGGTTCACCAGCAGGATAAGTACATGAGCAGGTCACCCTGGCTGATGAGGCAGGCTCACCCAACGTGCGGAGTCTAAGCAACCAACCGGTCTTCACCAGAGTTCCTGATGGTGGATGTGGGTTTTGCTGCATGCTGGTGCCAGGTTTCAGCACTAAGGACTGCCCCATCAGGAGGTAAGCAAGTGGGATCCAGTAGCAGATACAGCAGGTAGGGATCAAACAGAAACAAAGCCATGAAACACGTCAAAGGTTGGTAGCAAGTGGTAGCAAAGATAAGGACACCTGCAGGTATGCAAAGAAGCAAGAAATCAACTGGAGAGAGCAGAAATATCTGGCAAACAGGAAGTGCAGAGACATGGCTTAATCAGGAAGTTTATGGTAGGAGTTCATCAGCAACAGGATACAAGGCAATGGTGTCCAAGGGATCAGGCAAAGAGCTGTTCAGAATCCTGGGTGGCACAGTAAAAAGAGCAACATCCAGACATTGCAGTGCTCCCCAGGTTCAGACCTGGACCCTGACACCCTCAGTCCAAGGCCCTGAGGCAGACAAAAACCAGGCTACATATCTCAAGTCAGACCAGACCAGAGTCAAGGTTCAGGGGTAGCAAGGTTCTTCCGCCTTGTCCATTGTGAGTCCATAACTACTCCAGCCCTACAGAGGGCTCTCTCCTCCACTCAGGTACACAGGCCACATGATGTTGGTCAGAGGTGACCTGTTCCCATACCTGAACTACCAGGCTCTACCCATATCTGGCAATAAAAGGCCACTGACTCAACCTACTACATCACCAGAGGCGTGGCAACAAATAAACACACGGTTCAGCAACTGCAAACTACATATTTATACACAAAGAAAAAAGGAATAAAATTATCTTCCTGAGATTTATCAGTGAATCTATTTTTTTTTATTTTAGATTTTAGCATTCATAAAAAATTTTTGACTTTTTTGTTCTGGACCCAAAGCTTTGATAAATATCAGTAATGATTTTGTCTGTTTTTTTCTTCCCTAGACTTGGAGGGTAAAATCTTCTTCTTCCCCAAAGAAACCAGCACAGCTCGTGTCATCCTAAGACCTACAATTATAAAGCCATTGTGGAAAGCCAGCGTCTGTCTACATACCTACAGTGATCTCTCACGCCCGTATTCTTTGTTCTCTATGGCTACTCCAAGAAATCCCGATGCCTTGCACATCTACTTAGAGCCTCCAAACACCTATAAGGTATCCCTAAATAATGCAGCAGCTGCTTTTACACCAAACTGGAAGCCTAATTACTGGAGGCACATTTGTGTGACTTGGGACTCCAGCACTTCAGTGGTCTATCTTTGGCTCAATGGAAAGCTCTCCTCCGAAAGACGATATTATAGCAATTATATCGATGCAGAAAGCAGTATTGTTCTGGGACAGGACCAAGATTCTTTTGGCGGAGGGTTTGATGCTAAGCAGTCATTAGTTGGTGAAATAAGTGACGTCCACATGTGGGATTATGTCCTGACTCAGGAAGACATCCAGAAGGTCCTCTCTGGTGATCTCCATGGGAATATCATTAATTGGAAGTCTTTACGTTGTGAAATGAAAGGGGAAGTTCTCGTCAAGCCCAAACCTCAACGTAAGTCTGTCATCTTACTATATACACCTTGTTCATGAATAAGATTCTCCAGCTTTCAGTACAGAGTTATTATTATATTATTATTATTATACAGGATTTATGGCGCCAACAGTTTGCTCAGCACTGTACAATATAACGGGAGACAATACAGCAACAATACAGTTCAATACAAGAGGGATTTTAAGGGCCCTGCTCCTTGGAGCTTACAATCTAGGAGAAAATGGTTTAATTTGTCGTGCTCACCAGCAATGAGAGGTTACAATGACAATTATATATTAAGGATGGTCATAAAACTGAAGGATTGTGGTTTCAAAAAAAAAAAACTAAGGTCCACCTGGAGTCCATTATCTCTGTTGTCAAATAGAATTATCATTTGCAGTTCATGGCTTTTCCTTTCCTGAGTATATTTAATTTTCCTTTAAGAACCAAAACCTTCATGTCTTCCATATAAGGGTCTGGTTGTGAGAAATTATGTCCCACTGGTGTGTAGAAGTCATCTAAATGTTCTTCTATGGTGTGAATGTAAATTCATCCTTTCTTTTGTAATTTCTGTCCTGTTTCACCAGAATAACATTCTTAGTTTCCCTTGTAGTGAATGAAGTTATAGCAAGGCGTGGCATAGAGCGATACACCCACAGAAACAGGACATTGCTGTTTGCACATAACACAAGTCTCGCCTCCCTCGGCATTGTCATTTAACACCTAGAAAAAATGGAATAGATTTTACTGGTACCAGGGGTTACAAGGTTTTATAAAACCAACATTTGTATTACATGATTAAAATGACATTTTCAGGAGGTTGGAAAAATTATGGAAACACCAGGTAAAAGAACAAAATTGTTACCTAATAGGCTTTTAGATTGCCTTTGGCATCCAATATGGCCTGAATTCTCCAGGGAATTGACTACTATAAGTCTTGGATGGTGGATAATGGAATATGACCTTGTTCTCCAAAATTTACTATAGTGGCTCTATGATATTGATTGAGGTCCAGCAACTGCCAGGTAAGGTGCAAGACTTCATCTGCCTGCTCATAAAAGCCACAGTTTGACAACACCAGCTGTGTGAATTGGAGCATAATCATCTTGGTAAATGGCACTGTGTTTGGGAAACAATGTCTGCATTATGGGGGGCACATCTTCGGACAAAAGCTGTCGCTGGCAGTGACTCTACCTTTCAAGGTTAATATGGGGCCTGCAAAATATGAATATGTGGCTGCCCAAACCATGATTGCATCCCCACCATGCTTTACCATTGACACAAGACAGTCATGGTGGCAAGCTTGGCATGGTGTTGGCCACACGTTAACACGTTCGGTGGTTGGGAACAATGTGATGCTCGATTCATCGGACCATGTTACAGTCTTCCATTGATCGATAGTCCACCATTTATGGGTGTTACACCACTCTCTCCTCTTCTGAGCATTAATATTGGTCACTAGCAATTTGGCAATTGCAGCTCGCCCGTGAATGTTTTGCTTCTGGAGTTCCCTCTGCACAGTTTTTGTAGACACGGGCTCTGGAAGACTGGGATTGAGCTCTACAGCCACTTTTACAGCAGTTGTTTTCTTATTTTGGATCACAATCCTGCGCAATGTCCTCTTGTCTCTTTCGGTCAATTGACCATCTTGACTGTGCTTATGCTTTATCAGGCGACGTTTTCCCTGAAGCTATATACGCCGTCATAACCTTTGATACCGAACCTCGCGATACGGCAAATAAGTTGGCAACTTCAGTCACAGAGGCACCAGCTAAGCAGCACCAACAATTTGCCCTCTTTGAAGCTCAGTAAGCTCTGACATGACTTTGTATTACTAGTAGCGCAAGCAGTGAATGATGAAAGTGAGGCTACCTACCTTTAAGCTAGGTGTCTCATCGCACAGCAGAAGCAAAACATTGTTACATCACTACCGCTTTCAACACAAAACATGTTGTCACTTTCACACCTGCAAATCATGGAGTACTTCCATATTTTTGTCCAACCCCGTAAACTGTCCACAACCTTAAAATATCCAGGGATTTGTCCCCAGTATATGGCCACAACTATTGAACATGAAATTCTACCTAATTTTGTATGTTCCCAAAACACAGTAATTCAGAGAGGTAAACACGTTTCATGCAAGTGCTTCCTCAGAACCTTCACTCAGGATCAGAAGAGTATGAGCTAACTCAAATTTTTTTTACTGCAGATACATATATTGTGCTAAAAAAAAAAAAAAACACAATAAGCAATACATATAAATATACATGGTTACAGTAAAAAGTCTGGTGCATTCACATATCAATTCAAGAAGACCCACGAAGGCGGTAACAGGTTTACAAAATTGCAAAGAATTGATGCCACCATCTACAAGACCCAGGAAGCCAGATCCAAATGGTTATACCAATAAGTACTCGTATGAAAGGGGGACAGGGAAGAAAAGAAGGAAAAGAAAATGCCAATAAACCTCTGAAATGTGAAATTCCCAAAAAAGAGAACATTATACATACATATGGCAACACTTACAAACAGCGCTCTTCTTTTAGCCACACCGCAGGCAGTCAATGACAATTTTTTCTAGGTGCTAAATGTCCATTAGTTGTCACAATCAGGGGTCAGGCTCAAAGACCAGTTGCTATAGCAGTGGAAAGAAAGGCTCACCTGAAAGCAGCAGGATAGGTACACAGGCAGGTCACTGTGGCGGAGGAGTGGGATCATCCGAGGTGCGGAGTCTAAATACCAACCGGTGTTCACCAGAGCTCCTGATGGTGGAGATGGATCTGGCTGCATGTTAGTACCAGATCGCGGTCCTCAGGGCCACCCTACCAGGAGGTGAGCAAGCGGAGGTCCAGTAGCGTATAAGCAGGTAAGGATCAAACGGAAACGTGGTCAGTAAACAATCCAAGGTTGGTAATGAACAGTCACAGGTTGGTATCAGGCAGAAGCGTAGTCGAGAACAAGCCAAGGTTGGTAATGAACAGTCGCAGGTTGGGATCAGGCAGAAGCGTAGTCGAGAACAAGCCAAGGTTGGTAATGAACAGTCGCAGGTTGGGATCAGGCAGAAGCGTAGTCGAGAACAAGCCAAGGTCGGTAATGAACAGTCGCAGGTTGGGATCAGGCAGAAGCTTAGTTGAGAACAAGCCGAGGTCAGTAATGAGCAATCGCAGGTTGGGATCAGGCAGAAGCGTAGTTGAGAACAAGCCAAGATCGATAAGGAGCAGTCGCAGGTTGGGATCAGGCAGAAGCTTAGTCAAGAACAAGCCAAGGTCGGTAATGAGCGGTCGCAGGTTGGGATCAGGCAGAAGCGTAGTCGAGAACAAGCCAAGGTAGGTAATGAGCAGTCGCAGGTTGGGATCAGGCAGAAGCTTAGTCAAGAACAAGCCAAGGTCGGTAATGAGCAGTCGCAGGTTGAGATCAGGCAGAAGCGTAGTCGAGAACAAGCCAAGGTCGGTAATGAGCAGTCGCAGGTTGGGATCAGGCAGAAGCTTAGTCAAGAACAAGCCAAGGTCGGTAATGAGCAGTCGCAGGTTGGGATCAGGCAGAAGCGTAGTCAAGAACAAGCCAAGATCGATAAGGAGCAGTCGCAGGTTGGGATCAGGCATAAGCGTAGTCGAGAACAAGCCAAGGGTCAATAACGAGTGATAGCAAAATATGGATAACAGAGAAGATAAGAAGCACGATAATGGCTGGATAGCATGTTAATCTGGCAAACAGAAAGTGCAGAGACATGGCTTATATCAGGAAGTTCATGGGAGGAGCAAGGAGTTCAAGGTTCATGATAAACAAGGTCAAGGCAGGATCATCTAAATAATTGTCAAGGGAGCTGTGCAGCATTCCAGGTGGCTCAGCAAGAAGAAACATTGCCTCTCACTGCAGAAGGCCCAGGTTCAGACCCAGGCTCTGACATTAGTAGGATGTGGTATGCAGACGGGTGGCCATTTCTTGTGGGTTCAAAACTTAGTATCAGTATAGTTAAAGAGGTCACAACTGTTTCTCCTAAGAGGTTGTACCTTCATCAACTGCATGTCAGTAAAAGATACACGATGAGCTCCTGATCAAAATTTAAATGTCTTTGTACAGCCCACCCTCTGCCTTTAAATAACAGAGCCATTAGCTCCCAATCACATGACTTGAAAAAGTGCATGCGCACAAAACGCACCGTCATAGTGACGTCCCCGCCATCTTGAATCTGTGAGGTAGGCTTCCGAGGTTGATTCCAGTGCAGCTTCCTCTGGCATCCCCGGGTACAGGCATTGTCTACATCCGGTGTGTCACTTTCGGGGTGAGAGATCGCCAGCCTGAGACACTTACATCAGTTCCATCCACCGGGGATTACCACTATATAAGCGGCACACCATGACGCCTCTATCGTACAGCATTACTGCCACACTGATGAATATGTACTGCAGGTGGGGATTGACATCTCACGTGATTATGGATTCCTATTATAATTGTTTTTTTTTAGCCTGACTGTTGGCTGTGACAGGGATGTATTTAGGTTTTGTGCTTCCCTAGGCAACACAAAAATCAGACACTCCTCCTCCCCGGCGTAGAGGGGTAGAGAGCCTGACACCGACCAACACCTAGAGGGGTAGAGAGCCTGACACTGACCAACACCAGACCCCCTCCCTCCCCCCCCTGTAGAGAGCCTGACAGTGACCAACAACACCCCTGCCCCTTTATCCCCCCCCCCTGAGAGCCTTCCACTAATACCCATTCCCCAGCAACAGAGAGAAAGAAACTCACCTTTGCAGCTCTCGACAGCCCAGTGAACAACAGTCAGGCCCTGCATACACCATCAAGCAGCCTGCAGCCTCTCTCAGGTCCCACCTGGTCCCCATGCTGCATATGTCCCTTCTTCTAGGGGGCAGTACTGCCCCCCTAAAAAATGCTGCCCTAGGCAAATGCCTTGTGGTAAAAACATCCCTGGGATGCGATGTTTAACCTCTTGGCGCCTGCCGCACGCAATGAGCGGCCTCCCGGTGTCTGGGCCTTGATGCCGAGCGGCCGCACATTTGCGTGCAATTAAGAAAAAGATATGTGCTGAGAGAGCGCGCGC